TTTGCGGAGAGGGGCGTCGCCCTCATCAGCGCGTTCTGCGGCGCCTTTACGCGCGACGAGGAACAGCGACAGCACCTTCTGCAGGTCGTGGAGCGACACCGGGCGTTGCACCCGTGCGCGAAGTAGGCATGGGATGGCACGCACGGCGGATTTCGTTTTTTTTTGCGGTCTAACAGTGTCACTAGTGTTGATGGCCATTATAGACAGATGGACAGATAGATAGATGGACCAGTTAACATGGACCAACAATCTCACCAGTGTTGCAGGATCACCACGGTTGCCTTTTTTGCAATACATGCGTTCCTGTCTTCCGTCTTTGAATTATTGCAAGTGCGAACTGAGCAAAACAAAATCCTTACTGTACGGGAGAAACCGTACTACCATTCAGCCCCGTAACATTCTTTCCATAGGGGAAACTTTGGTCGCTCTGCGGGACGGGATAAAATTATCCGATCGGAATAAAATTTTGCACACATCCTTGTGTCATAGTATCGACAAGATTTCCGACCCGGCCCGACGAATCCGACAAACTTTTCCAAAATGGACCGCCCTAATGTATAGTAAGATTTTTTTTAGCCGAAAAAAACCACCATGTATAGTAAGGTGTTTTTAGCCGAAATTTTTAGCTGAAAAAAATGACAATGTATAGTTAGGCGTTTCTGGCCGAAAAAAATGACCATGTATATAAGGCCTTTTTAGCCCAAAAAAAACAACCATGTATAGTAAGACATTTTTAGCCGAAATGTTTAGCCCAAAAAAAAACAACCATGTATAGGAAGGCGTTTTTAGCCAAAATTTTTTGACGAAAAAAAAAAAGACCATGTATAGGAAGGCGTTTTTAGCCAAAAAAAGACCATGTATAGTCAGGCATTTTCAGCCGAAAAAAAACCATGTATAGTAAGGTTTTTTTAGCTGAAAAAAACGACCATGTATTGTAAGGTGTTTTTGGCTGAAAAAAACGTCCATGTAAGGTAGGTCGTTTTTAGACGAAAAAAAACGATCATGTATAGTAAGGCATTTTCAGCCGAAAAAAGCGACGATGTATTACTAGTAAGGCGTTTTTAGCCGAAAATTTTAGCCCCAAAAAACGACCATGTATAGTAAGGCGTTTTAAGCAGAAATTTTTTGACGAAAAAAAAAGACCATGGATGGTCAGGCGTTTTCATCCAAAAAAAGACAATGTATAGTAAGGCGTTTTTAGACGAAAAAAAGACCATATACTGTATCGTAAGGCATTTTCAGCCGAAAAAACCCACCATGTATAATAAGGCGTTTTTAGCCGAAAAAAACGACCATGTATTGTAAGGCAGTTTCAGCCCAAATTTTTAGCTGAAAAAAAACAACAATGCATAGTAAGGCGTTTTTGGCCGAAAAAAAACCACCATGTATAGTAAGGCGTTTTTAGCCAAAAAAAAAAACGACCATGTATCATAAGGTTTTTTTAGCCAAAAAAAACGACCATGTATATAGTAGGTCGTTTTTAGACGAAAAAAACCACCATGTATAGTAAGGCATTTTCAGCCGAAATTTTTCGCCCAAAAAAACGACCATGTATAGTCAGGCGTTTTTAGCCGAAATTTTTAGCCCAAAAATACGACCATGTATAGTAAGGCGTTTTTGGCCGAAAAAAACGACCATGTATAGTAAGGCGTTTTTAGCCAAAAAAAGACCATGTATAGTAAGGCGTTTTAAGCAGAATTTTTTTGACGAAAAAAAAAAGACCATGTATAGTAAGGCGTTTTTAGCCAAAAAAAGACCATGTTTAGTAAGGCGTTTTTAGTCGAAAAAAAGCGACCATGTATATATAGTAAGTTTTTTTTAGCCGAAAAAAAACACGATGTATAGTAAGGCATTTTTAGCCGAAAAAAACGACCATGTACAGTAAGGCAGTTTTTGGTTAAATCCAGGCATGGAAAGCGTTGACCACGGATATGAAGACCTATTTGTGTTGTTACTTACAACCTCAGCAGAACAGCACCACTGTGGTTGACTGGTTACTGTGTTGGCTTACCAGTGCGGAGGTGCAGTGTTTAAAGCCAGGTCTTTGCCAACATCTGCAGAGTTGGCAATTTTTTTTGAGCGACCAGGTATGTAAAGGCCGTTTTGGGTTGTACTAATGAGCTTGCTGTAACAGCGCCACTGTGGTCTACTGGTTAGTGCATCAGCCGAATAGTGGGAAGATGCTGGTTCGAATCCAGGTCTCGGCCATCATCTGTAGATTTTGGATATCAAGCATTTTTGAATGACCAGATATGTAAAGGCCTTTTTGGGTTGCAGATTTTGCAAATACAATAAGGCTTTTTCTCATGACTATGTATAGTAAGGCGTTTTTATCCAAAAACAATTAACATTCATAGTCAGGCGTTTTTAGCCTTAAAAAACGACCATGTCTCGTCGGGCGTTTTTGGCTGAATCCAGGCATGGAAAGCTTTTGAAATAACCACGTATATGAAGACCTATTTGGGTTATTACTTCCGATCTCATCTTTTTTTTTTAAACCAGGTATGTAAAGTCCCTTTTGGGTTGTTACTCATGAGCTCGAGGTAACAGTGCCACTGTGGTCTAATGGTTAGTGTGTCAGCATAACAGTGGGAAGATGCCGGTTCAAATCCAGGTCTTGGCAATCGTCTGTAGAGTTTGGATATCAAGCATGTTTGAATGACCAAATTTGAAAAGGCCTTTTTGAGTGTTTGCAAATATAGTAAGGCTTTTTCTCATGTACAGTAAGGCGTTTTTTTCGCCAAAAAGAACTAACATGCATACTCCGGCGTTTTTAGTCGAAAAAAAACGCGGATGTATAGTCAGGCATTTTTAGCCGAAATTTTTAGCCAAAAAAAGACCATGTATAGTCAGGCGTTTTTAGTCGAAAAAAAGCGACCATGTATAGGAAGGTTTTTTTAGCCAAAAAAAAACGACCATGTATAGTAAGGCGTTTTTGGCCGGAAAAAACGTCCATGTATAGTAGGTCGTTTTCAGACGAATAAAAAGGACCATGTATAGTAAGGCATTTTCAGCCGAAAAAAACGACGATGTATAGTCAGGCGTTTTTAGCCGAAATTTTTAGCCCAAAAATACGACCATGTATAGTAAGGCGTTTTTGGCCGAAAAAAACGACCATGAATAGTAAGGCGTTTTTAGCTGAAATTTTTAGCTGAAAAAATCGACCATGTATAGTGAGGCGTTTATAGCCGAAAAAAACGACTATGTATATAATAAGGTGTTTTTGGCCTGAAAAACGTCCATGTATCGTAGGTTGTTTTTAGCCGAAAAACACGACCATGTATAGGAAGGCGTTTTTAGCCAAAATTTTTTGACGAAAAAAACAACCATGGATAGTAAGGCGTTTTTGGCGAAATTTTGAGCCACAAACAAACGACCATATATAGTAAGGCGTTTTTAGCCGAAAAAAACGACCCTGTATAGTACCACTCATCCTCAAAGAATAAGCAGAGAATGTGCTATATATATATATATATATACATATACATACACACACACACACACACACACACACACACACACATTATAGTTGCTATTCATTATTCGTACAATCTCAGGAAAAATAGCACGTTCCTGCTTTGAGAACGCCATAATGGGCTGAATTGAGGCGATGCTTTCATCAATGCCACCTATTCTCCCAAAGCATCTAACATATACTCATATAGTTGAAGTTCATGTCAAGATGAGTATGTCTGTGTCTCACCATGTAGCTGCGGTACGAACATCAGATCTCTGAGTTGGAGCAGCAGCTGAAGTACAAACAGGAGGGGGCTGCAATTTCAGCGTCGGGTACTGAATCATGGATGTCACAGGTTGAAAGAATGAAGGTTGAGCTACAGCAGGTACAAGAAGCCTACGAGCAGAAGGAAACCATTCTTCAGGATCAGATCGAAACTCTCAAGAAACAAGTCAAACGCAAGGTAAGTGCTACATATTATATAACAAGTCAACGTTACCAGCCTCATAGAAAATAATGTGACAGATTAATCATGAATCGTTCCGGAAAATTGTGTCATTTATAATTCTCATGGTGTGCAACAGCATTAGGAGGTGTTTCAGGCTATTTTTTGCCTTCAGGATATCTCTTAGGCCATTATTATAAGGTGACAACACAGAAAAGTGGGATTTAACATTTCCGAGAGAGGGATTATTTTAAGCGCAGTGTCATTAATTTGGAGTTAGCGCATCTGCTTCACTTCATCGTTGAGAGGTTCCGGTTGTGATTCTCACCTCAGGCCCTCCTCCTTGCATGGCCTTCCTCCATTATTCCAAAAACATGCGTGTTCAGTGAACTCAAGACTAAATTGTCCAAAGGTCTGAATGTGAGTGTGCACGGTTGTATTTGAAACAGTAATTTATGTGCCCTGCAATCCGCTGCCAACCAGTTCAGGGTTTCCCCGCCTCACGCACAAAGTCAGATGGCATAAGATTCGACTCAGCCATGACCCTAATGTAGACAAACGCATTGGTTCACGCAACACAGTTTTGTACTCTTTTTGCAGTGTATTCTTAAAATACTTGTATTATCACGGTTGGGATGATCGGCACAGCCTTATAAGTGAGACGTTATACATGTATTCCTTGCAGGCCCTGCACAGCCCAACCCGACACCAGCGACAAGCTGAGGAAGCACACGGTGCCCGCATAGCCCGGCTCAACCAAGAGTTGTCTCTTAAAACACAAACAGTTCAGGAGTTGACCCGCACTGTGGAGAGACTGCAGAAAGAGAGGAGGAACATGCTCTCCGGCCCTAACTTACAACAAGATTCTCAAAACAAAGAGCCCAAACGACAACTAAACACGGTCAAATCAGCCTTATCCACACAAGAAGAAATGTTCCCCGCTGCTCAGTGTGAGAAAACCTACCAGCCCACAGTCTTCACAGGTATGTGTGTGAGAACCTGTCAGAGCGACGCATGTGAGAAACGTTGAAAAGACCATGTTAAATACGTCGATGTAAACTAGTGCCGACAAATACTTTGCGATCGTCGTGTATAACTGAATTGAATCTGACTTATCAGTACATGGTACAACTATGACTAAATGCCAAATAGTATGTACCGTAGTAGTAGTTCTTGTCGTTGCACAATGGGTAATGTATGTTATCATGTGCATAGGGTTTTCAATGTGAGCTGTACTATTTAACCCATTTTTTGTTCTATCTATACTGTACTTGCACTGCCCAGGGAGTCACATCACAGAGGTGCTGAAGGAGAATGACGCTCTTCGGGAGCGTCTAAAGCAGCTTGAGCTGCACAATGAGCAGCAAAAGGAGGCACTGACATGTGATGTGGTTCAAGCTAAGGAGGAGCTGTGCAGGTGTGTGTCAAACCTTCAAGCTCCGCAATACTGTCTGGAATGGGGCTGACTGAATGTGAATTTATGTGTTCAGGCAAAGGGATCACTTTTTGGATCAGATTTCTTCTCTGAAGGCAGAAAAGTTCAAGGCATTGGAGCACATGCGTGCCACTCACGCCATGGAGCACTCTTCTTCAAAGGTTGCCCAACTCAGCAATGAACTGAATGCTCGGGAGGTAATAAGAGAAAACCAAATCGCCTGCGATTTCAGAAGAATCAAAATGTTTCTGTGCACTTTCGTCCTCCTGCAGATCATGGTGAAGCTTTTGCAAGATCAGCTGAAAGAGCTGCATGGGGCCAAAGAAGCACTTGCCCTATCCAAAACTCGAGAGGCGGCTTTGGAGGCTCAGGTTACATTCTGATAGTTCTTACAGTTTCTGATTTTTTTTTTTTCACATCCTGTAGCCAGCATTTTTGCTATCCAAGTACCATTTCCATCTAAAAGTCAATGTACCATAACAACCTTCTGGTTGAAACGTTCAGGAGAGGTTTTGCCAGTCTTTTATTTTTATAGCTCGCTGCACTAACAGTATCGACCAGAAGACTGCATATTTTCAATTGAACTATTTAATGGATGCCAGAAGGATCAACACAAGTCTGTAGAGCCTTTTTGTCTTCCCTCTCGAATGCAATGACAATTCTTAGCTCAAAGCGCAGCATAATGTCACTGGTATCAAATTATACTGTAAATTTTTCTGGTCATATACTCTCCTGTCTCAAAGTACATAATTCAGTTGCTTGCTTTTGTACTGGGATGGATGGTTGCAAGAACTTGCTTACTTTTCACGTCTGTACACAATATGCTTGATTGATTTAACTTTATCTACCACTTCATTCACGCAAGTACATGGTTGCATTCCATGGCTGACAAAAACATTTGGGCACTTTGTCATGAATTCAACATAAATGAGGGGTGGCCTTATTGCTGTTGGAGGAAACATGGCTTTTTATGATGAGGTTGTATTTCCTCTGTCCAAATTTTGTCGCCCATGTCATGGAAAACCTCGAAAGGTTCAAGTATTTTATTAAATGTCTTTTTTTTTTCTTCTTTTTTTCCAGTTAAGCACGCTGTTAAAGGAACTGAAGGACGCCAAAGAAGCACAGAGTCCAGAAGTGAAACTCCTTTGTAGCCTGAAGGCAAAGCTCCTCACCATGGAGCTGAGACAACAAGACAGAGAGAAAGAGTTGAACAAGGTAGATTGGGTTGAGACATGAAATGAAGCACATCATCACGTTCCAAATTGGTGTTGGAACGTCGCCTTTGTGATCAGATGAAGCGAGCTGTTGTTCTCTAAATCTTATTTAATGGATAGATTCACGAGAAAAATAAAGTACACCGTTTTTCAGCTTTGAGGTTGGTCAAATCAAGACAAAACGCTGTCTCCAAATTCTTACAGATCATTGGAGGTTCGTGGCCCGAGGGTGATCAGCAGTCACAAGTCAATCATTGGAGGTGCCTAGCAGTGGATAAGGTCAGAGAGCTGGAAGCTTTCCGCTTGGAGTTGGACTCCATTTTGGATATCGTAAGGCATATGCAAAGACAGGGTATGAACCTCCCTACTCCCGATTCATGAGCCCCAACAGAGGTCATACAGGAGCTTGACAACACTAAGTCAATTTAAAGAATTCTTATTTTATAGCGTAAGTACTGTTAAAAAAAAAAAAAAAAAACTTTGGAAAGAAGCCTTTTTTTTTGTCACCGCAATGACTGCAGTTGCTTTTGTTTGCTTTAATATATCATCACAGACTTGCATATTTATAAATTTTAATAAAATGATGACACATTTGCTACACGAGGCAAGTTTTTTTTTTCATACGTAATGTCGGCAATCGAGTACAGTGATCCCTTGCTAGTGGTCTGGGCTGAAGTCCGTATTGTAGTGAAGTGCCTTGTACTTCAAATCTGCTTTTTTTGTCCCCATTTCAAAAAGCAAATCCATCTCATGCAAGAAGTGCGAATTAGCATGATTGAACACTTTCAAGGAGAACAGTCAGCGCACAACTCCAATGATGCACGGGACAAAACAGTTCCACTCCACCTGTTTGAGGTCATTCATGTTTTTATTGGGCACCAACTGACACAGTTGATACTATCGGGTTGAAATTCTCTACCATATAAAATTAAATTACATGGGTGGACAGGACAGCATGTTCTAGGATGGCATTTTTCCACAGCAGTTGCAAGTCCATCTGCCTCTGGATCAATTCAACTAGCGCTTAAAGACCCTCCGTGGACTGCAACAGATCCAGTGCTACGCTTGCATACAATATTCAGTACTTGCTTATTTAACATAATTGCATTCATTTGGATCTTGTATCTTCGATACCATCTACAACTTTTTCATAAACTTGAATTCTACCATTTGCTTCCTGATGTCAGATTTACAGTGGCTTGCACAAGAATTCATAGTTGAACCTTTTCACACTTTGTCACGTTACACGGCTAAACAATTTTATTGCAATTATAAGTGGTAGATATAAAATAGTACATAATTGTTGAGCGGAAGGACATGATTTTCAACAGTGGTGAGCCGTCTAGGGCAGCAATGGCTTCTTTGATTGCTTAATTGCCATCAGAAGCACGAACCTAAACAATGTAAATTCTAATATATTTGATTATAATGGGATTCATTTCTTGCCAATAGTCTGTTCTATTCATTTCAAAGTGTTTCTCCAGGCTCCAGTCTTTCCACGAATGTACTGTGAATGAATTTCAGATGTTATGACCAATCAAATGGCTTCTATGTGCTGACATGACAATCAAATCTATCCAGGGCCTTCAGAATCAGTCGCGTGGGCGTATATGCCTTGAACTATATTAGAAACTGTGATTCATTTCAAATTTGTTCTTACATGGCCAGTGGATGAGTTGAGAATTTTTCCATCTTGATTGGTTGGTCAGAGTAAAACTTTTAACAGCCAACATTTTTTTTTTGGGGGGGGGGGCAGACAACAGTGGTGCAATTGGACTTCGACAAACCCAACTGTTGATGTTTCAAGTTGGAGGCAAGCCCCCATGACCCCATTCATGGTTGGGGTGTGGCTCCAACTTGGGAGTCTAAATTGTTGGGTTTGCCACACCAATTTCAGCTGGTGCACCGAGACTTAATGCACGAACTGATGAAGTCTACTCGGATGAGAGGCGAAACATCGAAGACAAAGAGAGCAGTTCCGTTCCAATCGATTCAATGTCCTGAGAGGTTTACAGACGGTAACCACTGTTTTCAGCTGTTAGATGTGTCACAAAAGAAAAAAAAAAATCTAACTCACAATGTCCTTGAGGTGTGTTTAGTAAAACCAACCGATTGTCTGCTGCTGGTTACCGAGTGTGGTAACAAAATTTTTTCACCCCTTAGTCGCAGAGGCCAGTCTTTTCTGGTAAATTTCATATTTCATCAAAAACTACCAAAGCGTGGAGCTGCCAATGTGGAGTAAAATATTCAGACTGGCAAATGCGTCCAAGCATAGGAGTGTTCACACGGTACACATTTGCATCGGTGCTGCACTGATGTATTTTGTTGCGATATATCTTAGACCGGTGTAAATTTTGTGGAGCGTTCACACGTATGCTGCTTACTAAAGAGAAGCGTGTTAACCCTGCTGCAGCCCCCACTTGCGTTCACATGGCAGTTTCTGCGGCCGTGCAATACGATATAGTCATAATACGGAACCCCGCCTTGTTTGTGACACATCGAAAAACCATGGTTTATACTTCTCCAGACAATCCAACGCTGTGGTCTATCAGACACCGTAAAAGGATGAGAGAGAGAAAGGAAAGAAGTGCAAAATACCCAGGATGCAAGTTATGCAATACCCGTATGTAATCAAATCTTCTTAAGCGTAGCAAGTCTATCCCCGTGGAGCGTTCACACGTCCCAATTCATATGAGTGCTGCCCCGCAAACTAGCATTTCCTCCGGAGTAAATTTTTAAACCACCTCCTGATTAGGGTTAAATTTGCTCCGGTTTAAGCTGTTTTCAGGGGCTCCACCGGTATAACTTTGTACGTGTGAACGCTCGACGGGGGGCAGCCCCGATGCTACACCGGAGTAAAAGTTGCCGTGTGAACACCCCGATACTCGCAAGCACATTCAAACATACTTGTAGGCTAAATGCTACAAAGGTAGCATTTGACCACAAAGTCACGGAGGATAGATTTGCGCATACTACTACAAATGCTCCAGCGAGGGTCGGGGCATCCCGTCCCTGTGCGTTGAGCTGACCATATGCACCAGATTTTTCGAAAGCTGGCGATCTTGTGCCAGCTGCTCTGCATCCTCCACGGCAACTCTTGTGTTTTTGGAGGTCGCCCTCAATGATGTCGAGCCATCGGCTGCGAGGCTTTCCTCGTGGTCGTCCCCAGCCTGCGACCTTTGGGTCAAACTGGAGGATGGCAGAGATTTGCGTATGCAAGAGCAAAAAAAAAAAAGGAAAAAAAATCTAATTTTTTTTTTTTTGCATTTGGCCTACTTTATATTGCTATGTTCAAAAATTAAATAAACATTGTTCATTTGTAATTTTTCATGGTCTTATGTCTGCAGTGCATGATTTACGTTACAGTGTATTTCCCCCCATAATGGCATTGTCCATGGCATTATGGGGAAAAAAAAAGAACTTCAATCTTCTATTTATATCAATACGTTTGAAAAGGAAACATTTAGTATTCTTAATTTTATGGTTTTATTTTTTTTCCATAAGACATGCGCAAGTCAATACCCTGTGGCATTATGGGAAATGCTACATTTGTAGCATTTAGCCTTCAAGTATGTATGAATGAACTTGCAAGTAGGTCCAAACGTACTTGCGAGTAGGTTCGAACGTATTTATGAGTCCGTTCAAACATATTTGCGAGTACATTTGAACATACGTGCGAGTACACTGGAACGTACTAGTAGGTAGAAAGTAGGTCCAAACGTACTCTTAAGTACATTTGAATGTATTTGCCATACAAAACATTTTTACTCAGTAGAAAACAATACTCTGTGGGTCTTGGAGGGAAAAAAAAAAAAAAAA